CCTGTTTTCGACTGAATATGATGGATCTAGGCCGGAAGGTCGATAAATTTCCTTGATAGCAGGCAGCAGTGCTACCAGTACTGGCATGGAGCCGAAGATGGTAGGAGTCAGTTGGACCCTAACCAGAAAATCAACTGTGAGAGAACAAACCCTACAAATGACGCATGTACTCCGTGAGAGTACATGAACAACCTCAGTGCTCAAACCACGCCCTGAAGATGACCCACATGTTTGGGTTGAAACGTTGGCAAAAATAAAAATTTTAAAAAAAGACTGCGTCCTGAATATTTATCACCCATGATATGTAGAACAGTCGACTAACTTCCTTCAAGAATTTAAAAAAGTATATATAACATTTTTAAAAAATAGCAAAGTTGATCATATGGGAGTTGAAAAGTTGAAAAGAAAAATAGAATATTTTCCCTTACACATTCGATTAAGAATTCTTCCACATAAATTTCATATTTTATACTGAACAAAAATAAAATAATTTCAGAGGTTGTGCAGTGAAAACCTCTTTTGTTGAATTGAATTTTTTGAAAATAAGTGGAAAAAAAAGATGATACTAAGGAAAAAAGCCCCACGGTTGTCTGACAGTAGTGAGTAGGTGTGGTGGGGGAAGCTGAGCCTAGCAGAGTCAGCTTTCAAAACCGAACCCCGGTCGACCCAAAGCTGACCTGAGCTGACCCTTACTATGCCGTTCAACTGTGCCCAGCTTCTGGTGCGCGCCCTCCCATTGAAAACCATTGATTCAGTTTTGGAAGCTGATTCAGCTACGCTCAGCTTAGCTCCGCAGAGCTTTCTTCGGCTGGTCGGCCTAAGGGAATAGTGCAGTATAATGGACGACTTTACATACCACCAAAAGTTGTAAATTCATTTCCTCTAACTTTTGAATAATTGAACATAAATTATTTTTAAAAAGCAACAACCGATGAAAGGTCTTGGGTTCAGTGCAATGTGAGGAAGTACTGTTACAAGGCTAATGGTTGTGCAGGGAGGTGACGGGTCAATATCACGCTTAACTGTCAGGTTCTTGCTCTTAATTAATTATATAATTATGAATACCTATTTTATAGAGGCTGGATTAGCCCCAGGAGGATCTCCCGGCCCCAGGGTCGACCCACGGCTGATGAAAAATAATGTCATCAGCAGGATTCGAACCTGGGACCTTGAGGTCTGGAAGTCAGTGCTCACCCACAGAGCTGCTCCACTCCCACATAAATTATTAAAGTCATAAATATTCTTGACGGAAATTCAATTTTCTTTCACAAGACTTTTTTGTTAAATCAAGAGATAAAGAGTTAGCTAGTCAAATAAAATAAAAACTTTAGGAGATCTTTTTCTTTTTAGGAACTTTTCTAAATTAGGAAATTATGAGAGCTGATATTTTGTTGGATACTATACAAAATGAAGGAAACATGAATATAATCAGTTCTGTTACAAATTTTATCAGCTTTAATTTTATATAGAACATCCTTATCACTAGAACACATAATTTCCCTGATCTAAATCAAAAAGCTTTTGGCCCTCTTCCTCACAACTTTCACCTCTCCTGGAAGCGGGGACCTTATAGTTTGGTTATCTCCTTAACTAGGTCGAAACAAAGTCAAAAACTATGTTCCTTCCATACCCCTAGCATTCATTGACTGAACTAAATATTCCTTCTTGAACTAATTACAGAATTCTTTTGTAATTTGCATTTTATCCAATCTTTATTAATAGTAACATTAAGAGAGACATACTGCTTCAAACAAACAGAATTAAATGTGTTTCAATAATTTAAGGTCTGTCTTTGCTTGTTGGTAGAGCAGCTCTGATGAAGACGTGAACTTTGGGGCGAAAAATTGGCAAATGTAAAAATAAATACAATTATATATTTTTACTATTTTATTTTGACTGATCACCCCAACAATCCTTCCCTTCAATTCAATTCAATAATTTAGTTCTATCTACTAGATTAGCTTAAGTCAGATTTTTATAACAAAGATCTTTTTTTCTTCCTTAATACCAACCTGCATGATATGTTGTGTATTTTAAGCTTTAACTTAATTTTATTTTGCCAGGATGCAACATATATAACATAGAATATATCATACTGAAGTAAATTCGATCATGACCATTCCTAACTTCTCAGCTAGTTGCCTTCGTTAATGCTTGGTCCTACTATTTTACCTGCCCTTATTTCTCCTTTAGTTATATATCAAATGATTTAATATATTATATTTATCTATTTATTATTAATTATTCCAAAAAAAAAAATTAAGGTACTTTAGATGAAGCCATTCTGAAAATAAGTATTCAGCCCTGTCAGACTATTCCAATGAGTTTAAAACCTGACAGATCTTGATTCTTAGAGGAACTTCTTGACAGAACTACGTCCTACCTAACGGATTCTAGGAATTAATAATAACAATTATTTTTATATAGATATAACATAGCATGAAATTTATTCCAAAATGGATTCATGGATACAATGGACATGCATGGAAACAGCAATTGCTATTAGGACTGTATCGAAATGCCATGTAATGGAATATTTTGTTGGCCATTTAAGAATATTTTATATAAAATACTTAAAAACTACATATTTTCTGTCTATGTAAATTAAATAAGGTTTGATACTTACGGGGATGTCCTCACTTTTTATGGGCGTGACATTCATATCATCATAACAGTACCATCCTTCATCTTTTTGGTTTTTGCAGTATGCGGTGTCTAGAAACAATATTAGTAATTTTAATCACTGATATGGTAAAAACAACAATCAAAATCAAATGTAACTGAATTAAATCAAAAATAATGACAAGGAATACAAAAAAAAAAGTCTTACCATGGCCTCCGGACAGGGTCCCACAATGATTTATAACATCCACTAGATCATATTTTACATCTTGCTCAGAAAAATTTGTAATGTAACCATCTAATCGCAGGTTAGTCAGTGGAAAATCTACTAGGGAATCAATTTTATTGCCCCCCTTTGTAAAAATGAATCTTTTTAGTTGAATAATTAATATATTTGGTAATTTTCAAAGATCAATTTTTTTTATAACTGTGCGGTGTACCTGGCATGTAGGACAGCACCTGTTAACAAAAAAAGAAGCATATTCTAAATGAAATCACAATAAATAATTTTTAATAATAATACTGAATAACCTATATTATATTCAAAAAATTGAAAATCATGAAAAATGTATACAATAATAATGAATATGAAAAATGTATACAATAATAATGAATATGAAAAATTAAATACAATTGAGTACTTCAAGAATTTTGAATTTTTCTTTTCAATGGAGATTAAGTTATAAGAATGAAAACTCCAAAAATACTGGAATTTTCTTATGAATATTTGCAAAGATAATTAGTAACATAATAACCCCAACCATCCTTCCCTTCAATTCAATTCAATAATTTAGTTCTATCTACTCGATTAGCTTAAGTCAGATTTTTATAACAAATATCTTTTTTTCTTCCTTAATACCAACCTGCATGATATGTTGTGTATTTTAAGCTTTAACTTAATTTTATTTTGCCAGGATGCAACATATATAACATAGAATATATCATACTGGAGTAAATTCGATCAACCATTCCTAACTTCTCGGCTAGTTGCCTTCGTTAATGCTTGGTCCTACTATTTTACGTGCCCTAATTTCTCCTTTAGTTATATATCAAATGATTTAATATATTATATTTATCTATTTTTTATTAATTATTCCAAAAAAAAAAAAATTAAGGTACTTTAGATGAAGCCATTCTGAAAATAAGTATTCAGCCCTGTCAGACTATTTCAATTAGTTTAAAACCTGACTGATATTAATTAAAGACAATTTAAGTTATATTTCCTGATAGATCAGGTCATTAAATGTCGGAAATGAAAAAAGCTGGGACACACACTGTAAAAAGGAGCACGACATAATCCAGCAGAGTCTAGTAGAATGGAACCCCCAAGGACAGTGAAGATGTGAGCAGCCTAGAGAAAGACGAATTCAGAGAAGGAAATGCATAGTGCCAAACAGAACTAGTCTCGAGTCAGGGAGCTTGCTACAGATCTTGATTCTTAGAGGAACTTCTTGACAGAACTACGTCCTACCTAACGGATTCTAGGAATTAATAATAACAATAATTTTTATATAGATGTAACATAGTTTAATTAAAATTGTTAAGAGCCATTTTCAAGATTATTAATAATTTATAAAATTTATGATATTAAGTGCCACTTTCAGTAAGTCAATTTTGGTAAAAAAGTTGCTATAACATCCTAGAAAGAAGTTTCAGTTCCATACAACTTTTTTTATGAGCTGTTCAAACATCTTATTTTGAGAAATTTAACTATTTAGACTTAGCGGACCTCAATACATGTATTTCCGTTTAAAACTTGGATTCAAAACTGTTCATGACCACAATATTAATAATGCCATATAAATTTCTTATACAGGTAAGCGACAGAAGAAATTATTCACTTCTTTAAATGATATTAATGATGCATGAAATTTATTCCAAAATGGATTCATGGAAACAATGGACATGCATGGAAACAGCTATTGCTATTAGGACTGTATCGAAATGCCATGTAATGGAATATTTTGTTAGCCATTTAAGAATATTTTATATAAAATACTTAAAAACTACATATTTTCTGTCTATATAAATTAAATAAGGTTTGATACTTACGGGGATGTCCTCACTTTTTATGGGCGTGACATTCATATCATCATAACAGTACCATCCTTCACATTTTTGGTTTTTGCAGTATGCTGTGTCTAGAAAAAATATTAGTAATTTTAATCACTAATAAGGTAAAAACAACAATCAAAATCAAATGTAATTGAATTAAATCAAAAATAATGACGAGGAATAAAAAAAAAAAAAGTCTTACAATGGCCTCCGCACAGGGTCCCATAATGATTTATAACACCCACTAGATCATATATTACATCTTGCTCAGAAAAATTTGTAATGTAACCATCTAATCGCAGAGTTAGTCAGTGGAAAATCTACTAGGGAATGAATTTTATTGACCCCCTTTGTAAAAATGAATCTTTTTTAGTTGAATAATTAATATATTTGGTAATTTTCAAAAATAAATTTTTTTTATAACTGTGCGGTGTACATGGCAAGTAGGACAGCACCTGTTAAAAAAAAAAGAAGCATATTCTAAATGAAATCACAATAAATAATTTTTAATAATAATACTGAATAATCTATATTATATTTAAAAAATTAAAACTCATGAAAAATGTATACAATAATAATGAATATGAAAAATTAAATACAATTGAGTATAAGAATGAAAACACCAAAAATACTGGAATTTTCTAATGCATATTTGCAAAAATAATTAGTAAGATAATAACCCTAACCATCCTTCCCTTCAATTCAATTCAATAATTTAGTTCTATCTACTCGATTAGCTTAAGTCAGATTTTTATAACAAATATCTTTTTTTCTTCCTTAATACCAACCTGCATGATATGTTGTGTATTTTAAGCTTTAACTTAATTTTATTTTGCCAGGATGCAACATATATAACATAGAATATATCATACTGGAGTAAATTCGATCTACCATTCCTAACTTCTCGGCTAGTTGCCTTTGTTAATGCTTCGTCCTTCTATTTTATGTGCCCTTATTTCTCCTTTAGTTATATATCAAATGATTTAATATATTATATTTATCTATTTTTTATTAATTATTCCAAAAAAAAAAAAATTAAGGTACTTTAGATGAAGCTATTCTGAAAATAAGTATTCAGCCCTGTCAGACTATTTCAATGAGTTTAAAACCTGACAAATCTTGATTCTTAGAGGAACTTCTTGACAGAACTACGTCCTACCTAACGGACTCTAGGAATTAATAATAACAATTATTTTTATATAGATATAACATAGTTTAATTAAAATTGTTAAGAGCCATTTTCAGGATTATTAATAATTTATAAAATTGATGATATTAAGTGCCACTTTCAGTAAGTCAATTTTGGCAAAAAATTTGCTATAACATCCTAGAAAGAAATTTCAGTTCCATATAACTTTTTTTATGAGCTGTTCAAACATCTTATTTTGAGAAATTTAACTATTTAGACTTAGCGGACCTCAAGACATGTATTTCCATTTAAAACTTGGATTCAAAACTGTTCATGACCACAATATTAATAATGCCATATAAATTTCTTATACAGGTAAGCGAAAGTAGAAATTATTCACTTCTTTAAATGAAATTAATGATGCATGAAATTTATTCCAAAATGGATTCATGGAATCAATGGACATGCATGGAAACAGCTATTGCTATTAGGACTGTATCGAAATGCCATGTAATGGAATATTTTGTTAGCCATTTAAGAATATTTTATATAAAATACTTAAAAACTACATATTTTCTGTCTATATAAATTAAATAAGGTTTGATACTTACGGGGATGTCCTCACTTTTTATGGGCGTGACATTCATATCATCATAACAGTACCATCCTTCACCTTTTTGGTTTTTGCAGTATGCGGTGTCTAGAAACAATATTAGTAATTTTAATCACTAATAAGGTAAAAACAACAATCAAAATCAAATGTAATTGAATTAAATCAAAAATAATGACGAGGAATAAAAAAAAAAAAGTCTTACCATGGCCTCCGAACAGGGTCCCATAATGATTTATAACACCCACTAGATCATATATTACATCTTGCTCAGAAAAATTTGTAATGTAACCATCTAATCGCAGGTTAGTCAGTGGAAAATCTACTAGGGAATGAATTTTATTGACCCGCTTTGTAAAAATGAATCTTTTTAGTTGAATAATTAATATATTTGGTAATTTTCAAAGATCAATTTTTTTTATAACTGTGTAGTGTACATGGCATGTAGGACAGCACCTGTCAAAAAAAAAAAAGAAGCATATTCTAAATGAAATCACAATAAATAATTTTTAATAATAATACTGAATAATCTATACAATAATAATGAATATGAAAAATTAAATACAATTGAAATCACAATAAATAATTTTTAATAATAATACTGAATAATCTATATTATATTTAAAAAATTGAAACTCATGAAAAATGTATACAATAATAATGAATATGAAAAATTAAATACAATTGAGTACTTCAAGAATTTTGAATTTTTCTTTTCAATGAAGATTATATTATTAGAATGAAAACACCAAAAATACTGGAATTTTCTAATGCATATTTGCAAAGATAATTAGTAAGATAATAACCCCAACCATAATTCCCTTCAATTCAATTCAATAATTTAGTTCTATCTACTCGATTAGCTTAAGTCAGATTTTTATAACAAATATCTTTTTTTCTTCCTTAATACCAACCTGCATGATATGTTGTGTATTTTAAGCTTTAACTTAATTTTATTTTGCCAGGATGCAACATATATAACATAGAATATATCATACTGGAGTAAATTCGATCAACCATTCCTAACTTCTCGGCTAGTTGCCTTCGTTAATGCTTGGTCCTACTATTTTACGTGCCCTTATTTCTCCTTTAGTTATATATCAAATGATTTAATATATTATATTTATCTATTTTTTATTAATTATTCCAAAAAAAAAAAAATTAAGGTACTTTAGATGAAGCCATTCTGAAAATAAGTATTCAGCCCTGTCAGACTATTTCAATTAGTTTAAAACCTGACTGATATTAATTAAAGACAATTTAAGTTATATTTCCTGATAGATCAGGTCATTAAATGTCGGAAATGAAAAAAGCTGGGACACACACTGTAAAAAGGAGCACGACATAATCCAGCAGAGTCTAGTAGAATGGAACCCCCAAGGACAGTGAAGATGTGAGCAGCCTAGAGAAAGACGAATGCAGAGAAGGAAATGCATAGTGCCAAACAGAACTAGTCTCGAGTCAGGGAGCTTGCTACAGATCTTGATTCTTAGAGGAACTTCTTGACAGAACTACGTCCTACCTAACGGATTCTAGGAATTAATAATAACAATAATTTTTATATAGATGTAACATAGTTTAATTAAAATTGTTAAGAGCCATTTTCAAGATTATTAATAATTTATAAAATTGATGATATTAAGTGCCACTTTCAGTAAGTCAATTTTGGTAAAAAAGTTGCTATAACATCCTAGAAAGAAGTTTCAGTTCCATACAACTTTTTTTATGAGCTGTTCAAACATCTTATTTTGAGAAATTTAACTATTTAGACTTAGCGGACCTCAATACATGTATTTCCGTTTAAAACTTGGATTCAAAACTGTTCATGACCACAATATTAATAATGCCATATAAATTTCTTATACAGGTAAGCGACAGTAGAAATTATTCACTTCTTTAAATGATATTAATGATGCATGAAATTTATTCCAAAATGGATTCATGGAACAATGGACATGCATGGAAACAGCAATTGCTATTAGGACTGTATCGAAATGCCATGTAATGGAATATTTTGTTAGCCATTTAAGAATATTTTATATAAAATACTTAAAAACTACATATTTTCTGTCTATATAAATTAAATAAGGTTTGATACTTACGGGGATGTCCTCACTTTTTATGGGCGTGACATTCATATCATCATAACAGTACCATCCTTCACATTTTTGGTTTTTGCAGTATGCTGTGTCTAGAAAAAATATTAGTAATTTTAATCACTAATAAGGTAAAAACAACAATCAAAATCAAATGTAATTGAATTAAATCAAAAATAATGACGAGGAATAAAAAAAAAAAAGTCTTACAATGGCCTCCGAACAGGGTCCCATAATGATTTATAACACCCACTAGATCATATATTACATCTTGCTCAGAAAAATTTGTAATGTAACCATCTAATCGCAGGTTAGTCAGTGGAAAATCTACTAGGGAATGAATTTTATTGACCCCCTTTGTAAAAATGAATCTTTTTTAGTTGAATAATTAATATATTTGGTAATTTTCAAAGATCAATTTTTTTTATAACTGTGCGGTGTACATGGCATGTAGGACAGCACCTGTCAAAAAAAAAAAGAAGCATATTCTAAATGAAATCACAATAAATAATTTTTAATAATAATACTGAATAATCTATATTATATTTAAAAAATTGAAAATCATGAAAAATGTATACAATAATAATGAATATGAAAAATGTATACAATAATAATGAATATGAAAAATTAAATACAATTGAGTACTTCAAGAATTTTGAATTTTTCTTTTCAATGAAGATTATATTATGTTATTAGAATGAAAACAACAAAAATACTGGACATTTCTGATGCATATTTACAAAGATAATTAGTAAGATAATAACCACAACCATCCTTCCCTTCAATTCAATTCAATAATTTAGTTCTATCTACTCGATTAGCTTAAGACAGACTTTTATAACAAATATCTTTTTTTCTTCGTTAATACCAACCTGCATGATATGTTGTGTATTTTAAGCTTTAACTTAATTTTATTTTGCCAGGATGCAACATATATAACATAGAATATATCATACTGGAGTAAATTCGATCATGACCATTCCTAACTTCTCGGCTAGTTGCCTTCGTTAATGTTTGGTCCTACTATTTTACGTGCCCTAATTTCTCCTTTAGTTATATATCAAATGATTTAATATATTATATTTATCTATTTTTTATTAATTATTCCAAAAAAAAAAAAATTAAGGTACTTTAGATGAAGCCATTCTGAAAATAAGTATTCAGCCCTGTCAGACTATTTCAATTAGTTTAAAACCTGACTGATATTAATTAAAGACAATTTAAGTTATATTTCCTGATAGATCAGGTTATTAAATGTCGGAAATGAAAAAAGCTGGGACACACACTGTAAAAAGGAGCACGACATAATCCAGCAGAGTCTAGTAGAATGGAACCCCCAAGGACAGTGAAGATGTGAGCAGCCTAGAGAAAGACGAATTCAGAGAAGGAAATGCATAGTGCCAAACAGAACTAGTCTCGAGTCAGGGAGCTTGCTACAGATCTTGATTCTTAGAGGAACTTCTTGACAGAACTACGTCCTACCTAACGGATTCTAGGAATTAATAATAACAATAATTTTTATATAGATGTAACATAGTTTAATTAAAATTGTTAAGAGCCATTTTCAAGATTATTAATAATTTATAAAATTTATGATATTAAGTGCCACTTTCAGTAAGTCAATTTTGGTAAAAAAGTTGCTATAACATCCTAGAAAGAAATTTCAGTTCCATACAACTTTTTTTATGAGCTGTTCAAACATCTTATTTTGAGAAATTTAACTATTTAGACTTAGCGGACCTCAATACATGTATTTCCGTTTAAAACTTGGATTCAAAACTGTTCATGACCACAATATTAATAATGCCATATAAATTTCTTATACAGGTAAGCGACAGAAGAAATTATTCACTTCTTTAAATGAAATTAATGATGCATGAAATTTATTCCAAAATGGATTCATGGAAACAATGGACATGCATGGAAACAGCTATTGCTATTAGGACTGTATCCAAATGCCATGTAATGGAATATTTTGTTAGCCATTTAAGAATATTTTATATAAAATACTTAAAAACTACATATTTTCTGTCTATATAAATTAAATAAGGTTTGATACTTACGGGGATGTCCTCACTTTTTATGGGCGTGACATTCATATCATCATAACAGTACCATCCTTCACATTTTTGGTTTTTGCAGTATGCTGTGTCTAGAAACAATATTAGTAATTTTAATCACTAATAAGGTAAAAACAACAATCAAAATCAAATGTAATTGAATTAAATCAAAAATAATGACGAGGAATAAAAAAAAAAAAAGTCTTACAATGGCCTCCGCACAGGGTCCCATAATGATTTATAACACCCACTAGATCATATTTTACATCTTGCTCAGAAAAATTTGTAATGTAACCATCTAATCGCAGAGTTAGTCAGTGGAAAATCTACTAGGGAATGAATTTTATTGACCCCCTTTGTAAAAATGAATCTTTTTTAGTTGAACAATTAATATATTTGGTAATTTTCAAAGATCAATTTTTCTTATAACTGTGCGGTGTACATGGCATGTAGGACAGCACCTGTTAAAAAAAAAAGAAGCATATTCTAAATGAAATCACAATAAATAATTTTTAATAATAATACTGAATAATCTATATTATATTTAAAAAATTGAAACTCATGAAAAATGTATACAATAATAATGAATATGAAAAATTAAATACAATTGAGTATAAGAATGAAAACACCAAAAATACTGGAATTTTCTAATGCATATTTGCAAAAATAATTAGTAAGATAATAACCCTAACCATCCTTCCCTTCAATTCAATTCAATAATTTAGTTCTATCTACTCGATTAGCTTAAGTCAGATTTTTATAACAAATATCTTTTTTTCTTCCTTAATACCAACCTGCATGATATGTTGTGTATTTTAAGCTTTAACTTAATTTTATTTTGCCAGGATGCAACATATATAACATAGAATATATCATACTGG